AAGTGTTTTCATTTATATTTTAGGGGATGTTCAGTCACATAGTTCTATATAGAACTGCCATGTTTTATTGTTCTTAATGTGTTTATCTTTTTTATGGGTGAGACTTCAATAAAATATCTAGATCTTGGTCTTGATCTAGTCCACTGCCACTTCATTGTATCCGTACTACAGCGCCGTTCCACAATTTCTGTCCTGTACATGTGGTTGTTATTGTGTGGAGCGGCACCGATGCCAAAGAAGGTAGAAAGGTAAACTGCTGGCCGTGAAGCATATTCCCAGGAACAGTACCCCGAGCTACAAAACAAGAACAAAATGCTAACTATCACAGAGAGAGGTGTCATTGGATAATTGTAAATCCCCGTGTCACCTGGGCGGCAATGCCATGGGAAATGTATATCTTTTTAATGTATAATCCTCAAAAAGGCTGCAGGCTGGTCAAGATATTTATTAATTTTTACTGTATAGTTTTAGCTTAAATACCTCAATCTTCACTCAAAATACCAATACGTCTTCACAAATAAATAAATAAATAAATAAATAAATAAATAAATAAATATTAATAACAAAACGGCTAATAGTTGAATGGTATTGTAGAACGATTCGACCTTATCTATTATCTCCTTCTGTTCCCTATCTGAATACAAAATAGAATGTCAAAATGTATACATAAAATCATATACATACCCCAAGTGGGTCACTTTCCAGGCTGTATTTGTACCAGGAGAATATTGGTAAATTAATAAAGTTCACCAAACTACTGACAGTATTTTGTATTCCGTATGCCTTTCCAAAGTGTTCCCTTGGAAACCTGTAATTTGAACGTTTTGATTACGTAGATGAACGAGTCGTTAACATCAATGAATGAGACAGCGTTCAAGTATTCTAGGCCTCGCGGAGAAGGTCGAGGCATATCTGAACATTTTTATTCTGGTAACACACTGCATACAGTATTTGTTGATCGAGAGGGATTTATAGAATACTGTTTTCGGAATACATCGGAAACTTACCTTTTCTCCTGAATGCATCTTCTTAATAAAGTAGGTATGGTATAAAAGAGAACCTATGCTACAAAAATTGCTGAGTACACTCCTTAATATATACTACGTAGGCAAAGTCACAATTTTTTACTTTCACAAATTATATTAAACATAATTAGTTGACAGAATAAACAAATGTAAACATTCACTTTTGTTGACAGAATAAACCGTTTTTCTACACAAAATGAAGCTATTACAAGTCCTCCTAACGCATAACCAAATTTACTTACACGGATGCCACGAAGGCCAAATGCACAGCGTAACTCCCGGTTTTCAGCACAGAATGAAAGAAAATAGCCACAAAGTGCATCTCGATAACTGGGATGATACACGCTATGGATACTACGATACCAACCGAAATCGCCAGGGAAAGTGGAAGCATGAAGCATCGCTCTTTGTCTGAAGTATATAATAATGTGCTGAAGTATTTAATAATGTACTAGTACAGAAATAAATTGAGTAAATAATATATTAATTGAGTATGTAATAATGTACCAGTACAGAAATAAGTTGAATATATAATATATAAATTGGGTATATAATAATGTACCAGTGCAGAAATAAATTGAAATTGAATTGAAAATAATATTTTTACTTGAATCATATATTTGCTTCTTAATACCATGCACAAATTCAGTATAAGATATCCATTATTACCAAAGAAAATTGTTGAAGCCAATAAGCTTTTATTTATTATACAATGGAGTACTTTAGATATGTTCAGTTATAAGAGGAACGAGTAGCACTGAGCCTCGTATTATTAGAGTGGGTTTTCACGTAAAGACGGAAGAACTTTCAGTATTTTCCATATTTCACAAGCCCAATTTAGATTGGCGAAATTGGATATATACTACACTAATTCCGTTAAAGAACAAAAGGCGTCGCTGCTGCCTCGGCGGATGGGTGGCGCGTTTGCAAATTTGCTGTTAAATTTAAAGATTGCGGAAATAAAACAGAATATAACATTCTGGCCAATAAACGAAGATATGTTTTACATGTAATGTAAGCGACATTGTTTGCGATGTTTAGAAATCTTGTTAATATTTTGAATGCCTCGCAAAATCGGCCTAGTTATAAAATGCCAAAAAATAAATCTAAACAAATTTACTACTATTAGGTTATACTATTAGGTTATAGAATACACACAATACGTGCAACGTTATAAACATATAACACAAAATGCTGGGTATAGTGAACCGTTAATAGTACTGATAGTCTAAATTTGCATAAAGGTGATTTGCATCTTTGTTTAATTGTTTAATTTATTCAGATGTATATAAGCATGGCAGCTTGCATGTAGTGAACCATTAATAGTACAGGATAGTTAGATTTGCGTGTATATGATTTGCATATTTGTATAATTTAAATGTATCCACTATTAAGTATTAATTTATGCAAATGCATATTAGCATGGCACGCTGCATGTTAGTTGTGGGAGTTCATTTAAAATGTAAATTAAGATCGAGAATAAAAGCAG